CAAATCACAAGATGCGTGATTTTGTGGGAGGTGTAGAAAGAAAGGAATCGGAGAGTGTTTGATGGGATCAGCTTGCCCTTTGAGAGAATTTTGGAGAAGATCTTGCACACAATATGGATTTATCTTTCAATTACAAAAGTTAGGCAGGATATATCGGATGTGGATTTAGGAGAAACTTACCAAATCTTTTTCAGATGGTTTTTATTAAATGTAGGCCTAAAGGAAGTGGGTGGCCCCATTATTGAAGGTCTTTAAGCTCAACTTTGTTGGCATTTCTTTAAGGAATCTTAGTTTAGGGGGCTTTGGAGGAGTGGTTAGAGACTAGTTTGAAAATATTGTTTTTACTTATGCAGGCCCTCTTGGGGAGAGAATTGCAAATTATGTAGAATTCTATGCACTTCTTCATGCCTTGCAATTTATTGTGGATAGGAATTTGGGACCTTTATGTATTATTGAAGGTGATTCCTTGAATGTCATTAATTGGCCTTACGATTTGAGATCTATGTTGCTATAGATCTTGGACCTTTCTGGAACTTCTAACTTCTCTTTTGTGCATGTTTATCAGAAAGACAAGGTGTTGGCTGATTTTCTTGGCAAAGGGGTATCTTTTTGTCTGAGACAGTGTCTCTGACTTTGTGTTCTCTTTTTAGTCTTTAATATAGTCTTTGAATTCCTATCAAAAAAAAATTGGCTCTGATGTGATCATTTTGGGGCCTTTTGCATATCCTATAGTTTTAGCAATTTTCTAGTTTGTATGTTACCAAATTCATGGTGGAAACACTTTGGAAATACTAATAATTTTAATTAGTTCCAAATTCTTCTAGGCTTGGAGGGGAAAAAACCAAAAAGAAAAGTAAGATTAAACTCTTCTTTAAATCTGGCAACATGCTTCATATTTTCAAGTGTTTGAACTATAGCTTCTCATGTTCTGATATCAACAGAGTCTATACTGTTGATTTGCTCATTAATACTTCCTATAGATGCCAAACTGCCGTCACATGGCATATATTCATTAAGTCACAATTTAGTCGGTACATGCTATGTGTAGCTCCAATATCAAGAATCCAACTCTTATAGTACATGGAATTGCATCCCACTATCAATACCTCATCTCCAATATAATTAGATGTTATTTATTCAACTTGGTGAGCCTGGTTCTTGATTGGAAGTGAGCTTTACTACCTTGTTTGTCTGTCTTGTCATAAGAACTTCCATATTTGACTCCACTAGTTATCGATCCATGCATTCTTTTATGTACTACTAACATTGAACTTGAGGTATTCCTCCTTCTTATAACTCATAATTAATTAACAAGATTATCATAAGAGTTTTGTAATAAACAAAGTAGTATTATCACACTATCCTCCCCATTCATCTTCGCCTTGGAACTCTCAAACTAACAAAAAAAAAATTTATTTAACTCATTTAAGTGTTCATATACTTTCACACCTTTTCTCATTCTTAAAAGATATAATTTTTGTTGAACTCATTCAAGTATTTCGAGAATGGTATAAGTACCAATCCGGTTCCCCCTAAAATCCCCCTTTATATTCTTTTTTTCTTTTTTCTTTTAAAGCAAGAGATTTATTAAATTAGCTCTAAATCCATAAGCTATTTTAATTTTTGTTTTTTTTCATTTGTTTTAGATATATTTTAGATTACTGGTGTAGACTCGAAAAAGATAACTAATCCAATGATTCGACACAGATTTGTGGGTGAACAATCCAGCGCACCGATATGGGTTTTGAAACACCTGTTCCAACACTTTCATACCTTTTCTCATTATAAAACAATATAATTTTCTTTTCCCAAAATCTTACTAATGCGGGATTTAGTTTGGTAGAAGCTTTCAAGATTTACCCAAAAACCCGCCACCATCTACTAATAATACTTTATATGCTAAACATAATCAAATAGTGGCTAGGACCTTTTTACCTTTATTGTATTAATATTCCGCAAACTTTAGTTTTCAAAGTTTATAATCTCCTCTCCCTTCAAATTCTTTTACTTTAAAACTGTGACTTGCTATATTCATAAAATATTTGCACTTCCTTGATCATTGTTACCATGTAATAGGAACCGAAGAATCGCTCGGTTATCCATGTTTGAACCCAATAGTATTCGGGTCCATTGAGCTCAGACTCAAACTCATTGGGTCTCGGGTTTACCCATCAAATTTCGGGTCTAGTTGGATCCATTGCCACCTTAAGGCTATGAGCTTTTTTTTTTGTGCTTTTTTTTTTATGGGATTATCTATAAAGAGACCATTTATCTTTTGTACATTGAGGACACAATTATTGTTGTCTTTGGAATTTCAAAATAGGTGTTGTAAGAGTGTGATTGAATAAACACGAAGTTCCAAAAAAAAGAATTCTCAAACTTCGGAACTCACTCCAAACCATCCAATTTAACATCTAATGAACGTGAATAATTGTAACCTACATGTATAAAAAATAAATAGTCTCTTTGTAACAATCTTTTTTCTTATCATCATATACCCTATGATTATGAGCTGCTTCTTTTTTTGTCAATAATCTTGTAAATGTTACCAATATCGTGACAATATGAATACCTAGCGCACGTCTAAAGACACATGATTGCCATCATGTAACCTATAACTACAGCTATGGGTCGGGTCCAGCTAGACCCATACCCAGGCCCGAATAGTATTCGGATCCAAAACTTGGACCCACCCTCATCGTTTCCATTGCCACCCCTAATCCTTCACTTAAAAGGGACGTTTACGATTGTAACACATTTACTAAACATAACTTCAAAGGACTTTTAAAGATGATAAAACAGTTAGTAAACATAGAGAACAGTCAAAACTCAAGATTCTATGGTCCAACAGGATGAACCAAAAGCCCACCTAAAGAATGAACGATGGACTGTATGATAATGCACGGAGTCTATATTTAATTTTTTATTTTTTTTTATCAACAACTTTACTTACAATATCCAATTACAGTTAAATTTCCCTTGAAATAAATAAATAAATCAAAATAAAATTTCACTTGCTACATCCTAAAAACAAATATTTATTTAATAATCAAAACCTAGACTTTTTGTTTTATGGGAAAAGACGAATATAACATAAATAAATAATAAAGAAATAAAATTGGTGGAGATTACTTCAATCGGACTTAGTGTACCCCATGTCGAGTCTCCTCTTCCCGATGGTACTTGGGATCTTTGATCAGTCTCTTGATTCTCCTTTTTATGGCAAAACTCAACTAATGTATATGGATCTTGATCTAGAACCAACCACCTAACTCATCAATGCCTTAGTTTTATTCAAACCCCCATTTAACTTGATTTTATAGAGATGAGAGATAGAAATTCCAGAGAGAGATTTACTAGCTAAGAGCTTGAACCCTTTTGCTACCCACCAAAAGAGAGATGACCTAGCCTAGGCATGCTGCCTTTGTAACCCAACTATAGAGATATGAGAGAGACTAGTTTGGGACGTAGCCCCATTTGGGTCTTGGAGAGAGAGGTCGACTAGGTTGGGGCGTGCCTCTTTAGGTTAGCTTTCGAGAGAGAGATGTAAACCTAGGGTGGGGCATGCCCCTTAGAGACTTTAGAGAGGGAGATAATCTTAGAGAGAGAAGAGAAAGAAGAGGTGTAGAGATCATGAGGGGGAAATATCATTTTTATAGATTTTTCATTCATTAGGGTTTGCCTTTCAATGTGAGAATCAATCTTAACCATCGATCTAAGGAGACTTGTGAGGTGAGAGACGTCAGTCATTAATTTCTTAAATCCACCATCAGAATGTTAAGGAATGTATTAGAACATTATCCTCCACTTCCTAAATCTATTCCCATCATAATAATTAACTAAGAAAAATATTTCCTACTTTCTCTTATAATAAATATTCATTTCTTATTATTTCACAAAATATTATAAAACTATTAATTTCATTCCTTTAATGCAAGTAGGCTACTCACCACAAAAGGAAAGCCACCTAACGTGGGATCCTCACATAACAAATAAAAAGATAGAGAGCAATCCCTATGGGTGGAGCGTGCCACCCATTGGTGGCCTCTCATGGGCCCTTCCCAATAGCTTACATGTGAAATGGTCTTCCAAATATTTTGAAGGACCCACATATTTTTTTAGAAAATATTAATTTTTATTTTAAGGATTTTTAAATCTCTTAGATTATTTAAAACATTAGAAATTGAATTTCTCTAGATTTAAAAATCCAAATGACAAAATTAAAATATAAGAAGATTAACAAAAATTCAAATAAATATTATAAAAAAATTTAAAATTAATTAAAATTAATTAATTTTAATGGAAAACGGATCTGTATAGACCTAGGATTTTATCAACGTACATGAACACTCTACTTTCAACTATGGACCACGATCTACAGTAGCGTTCTCAAACTAACATATCAGTTCCCATGACTTAGTCCAATGCAAGAGTTTATTATTGGACAACCAAAGTCAATTAATAAATTAGGGGACATAATCTAAGTATGTGGATTTCAGGTTCTCCCCTAAAGACAAACCATGATCAGCAGATCATGATGTAACAAAGACTCTATGGTGCATAAGGATAATCTCTCGCACATATACATGCTTCACTCTCAATGGTATATCTCTTTCTCAATACGGTTATCTATGTACATGTCATGTGATGATACAATGATAAAGTTTTAGCTTTGTCTCTATCGGCCATTCATCTCACACAATGGTCACATAGTCCTTCAGTTCTCATCCGAACATACTCCAACCTCATCAATGGCTAACCCACTAAACCCTTATCGATTTTAACTCCAAGTAACTTGGATTTTTTATAACTCGTTTGGCCTAACACGATGAGCCTAATCCAATTATCGACAAATTACATTTGTCTAATATGATCCACAAGTGAGTTTATGATTCATTTATTCAAAATATTTTGTACATTCTCTCTTAAATGCCAAATAAACCCAACAAAGAATCCTTAAAATTTAAGAATTCAAAATTTTGAAAGAAAAGGACCTCACGATGAATTCAGGCACACATCAAAAGGTAAAAATCCAATGACAACAGTTCTCTTTACAGCAGTAATCTCTTCAGAGGAGTAAGATGGAGAGTGAGAGTGAGAGAGAGAGAGAGTAGCCTAAATGTTGAAGTAAGCGCAGTGGGTTCGAACTTCGCCGGCGCCGCCAGAGAGAAGGCCCAAGTTGGAGAGCTTTATCATGGCGGCACCGAAGTCGGAGTCGAAGGACCTCTCCCCACTCGCGTACTGCCTCACAATGGCGGCGGTGATGGGGGAGGACATGAGCTGCTGATCAGAGAAAAGGACGCCCCTGCCCCAGGCCAAGTTGGCGTAGAAGTGGGTGGCGTCGAAGGCTTGGTTGTTGGTGGCTTCCAGGTGCAAGGGGACCTGAGGGTCACTTATACCAGTGGCGGCGTGGCTTATGCCATTGGCAGGGTCACAGGCAATCCTGAGCGAAGGGAGGAGGTCGAGGGGGAGCGTAGGGTCGGGGAGGCCGCCGCCGCTCATGTTGAAGAGCCGGTCGTTGATGAAGCGGCAGCTCGTCTTCCCGATGCTGTGGCCCCCTGTGGTTTTAGAGAGAGAGATGCTCATGTTACTGATCAAGAGAGAGAGATTCTCATGTTTCTATTCAGAAGAGAGAGAGAGTAATGTACCAAGAAGGCTGATAGTGTCGATGAGAGAGAAACCCTTGGCCATGAAACGAGAGAGAGTGGTGTTGAGATGGTCGGAAGGCCTGGGGAGCTCCGCCTCTGCTCTCTCAAAATGGGATTTGAAGCCGTCTTTCCTCCCCATCTTCAGCGGATAGAACGGTCCTCCAGCCTGCAATTCACACACACAAACCCATTCACCATTTGAGAGAGAGAAATCCCGTAGTAATGTTGTCAATATTAGCTTCGGAGCCATTTGAGAGAGAGAAATCTCCAAAGTAATGTTGTCAATATTCGCTTTGGAGTCTTGGCCTGAACCAATTCGATAACTCCGAAGATTCAGGGAAGCTTTGAATTTTTTTAAATTTTATATAAATAAATTTCATGTTTATATATATTTATATACACATAAACATATAAAAAAACAATAAAATAATTTAAAATAAAAATTTCAGTGATTTACATACAGATCCTAAAATTTTAGATAAAATACAAAATCTTCTATTTATAGGCAAAATTACAAAAAGTCGGTTAATCCATATTTTTTATTTTTTTCAAAATTATTCTCACGTCAACCCAAATTTTAATTTTTTTAAAAAATTTTTTTAAAATTTTCATTAGTATCATGCCCCAAGCACTCGCCGGAAAAATCTAAAAACAATAAAATAAAATCAAAATTCGGATTGACTAAAAGGTAATTTTAAAAGAAAAAAAAAAACGTAAGTCGACAGACCTTTCTAAATTCCTCGTATAAATCGAACATTTGGTATTTTAGAGAGAGAGAGAAGCCCTCAAAGATAGAGATTCTATAGCGAAGTCCTCAAAGATACAATCAATTGAGAGAGAGCGAGAGAGAGTAAATTTAGAGAGAGAAGTAAGCCCTCAAAGATAGAATCAGTAGAGAGAGATAGAGAGTTAGAGAGAGAAAGTGACCAGGGCAATGGCGTCTCTGGCACTGAGGACAATGATATCGGCGCATGAAACAGTAGCAGGGCAGGAGTTTTGGAGGTTGGACTTGATCATGTCTATCAAATCGAAGCCCTTGAGTGAGCCTTTGTTCGGACGCGCTTCTTTCTCCGAGGGCCCACCATCCACTACCTCATCAAGCAGAACCGATGCCTCACACCCCTGCAACAAAAAATCCATTAAAACCTCTCTTTCTCTCTCTAAAAAGATGATAAAAGTTCCAATAAATGATTCAAGACTGTAGATTACAACAAAAAAAAATTGGAAAAAGAAAAAGGAATTGCAGACACGCTTAACTCTGAAAGAACATCTGAAATGCCATGTAGTGGGCCAAGAAACTAAGAAGAGAGAGAAAATTACTCCATGAAATATGCAAGAAATCCAATGAAACAACGAGAGAGAGAGAGAGAGCTACCCCATGAAAGCTGCGAGCAAATTCAAAGAAACAAGAGGAGAGAGAAAACCACCACATGTCAATGCAATCAAATTCAAAGAAACAAGAGGGGGGCAGAGAGACCTCAACAAAGCAGTCATGGAAGGCAAGGCGCAAGAGAACAGCAGGGACATTGGATCGGTTTCGAGTGAGCTCGCTAACAGTGTCGCGGATGATGGATTCAGCTTGAGGGCATGAATTCTTGTAGTAGTCATAGCTCAACAGAGATTCCTCTCTCATACTTTCTCTCTCCTCCCCAGCTGTGTAATCTGCATAGTTGAGAAATCCTCCCTCCTCTCTCTCCTCCCCAACCCTGTATTCATCATACCCCAACAGAGCCTCCACTCCCTCTCCTCTCACTTCCATGGCTGCAGCTTGAAAGGAGAAGAGGAGAGAGAAAACCAGAAAGCCCAACACAAATCTCATACCTAACCCCCATTTTCTCTCTCCTCTTTCTCTCTTCTCTCTCTTTACACCTCTCTGGTCCATGTCTTCTCTCCCTTCCTTTCGCATGCAGAATCCAAACATTTCCATCTCGGGAGTGAACACAGTCTAACTATATATTATTCAAGTGTGCGCACGATTCAACCGTCTGTTTAGGAACTGAACGGCAACGATTAGGTTATCTATGCACGTATGTAACTGCTTTTGGCTGATGTGGAGGATCTTCTTCGTCCTCCGTTTTCGAAACAAACGGCGATGGTTGTGTCCATACCACCATACAGTATGCATTTCTGTATCATATGGTGCTCACAACTGATCGATATATTGAAATTGAGCACATGGTATGATATATTGAAATTGAGCACATGGTATGATATATTGAAATTGAGCACATGGTACTTCGAAATTTTGAATGGTATATTTTGTCAAACCGATAAAAACAAGAATGAGATATTAACTTGGTGAAGGGATCACGTTCTCAAATTTAAAAAAGGGCAATACTGGTTAAATTTAGGAAAAGTGTAATTTTAAAAATGGACATATTGGTCAAATTTAGGAAAAGTATATTATGAGACTACCTATCTTTGTTACAAGGTGGTCTCAATTATTCTTGATTATTGGATGTGAAGTTAGATGGCCACATTTATTTTATTAAACAAGCTCAAACTTTAAAAAAAAAAAAAAAATCTCGAACGCTGTAACACACCCATGCCATCAGATTTCACATCCAATGGTTATTGTGACCTCCTTCTATAAAAGCAAATTGTCTTATTATATACAATATCAAATTTATGAAACTATTCTCCATAACTTTCTAAATTTTGCTCGAAATATTTTTTTTGGTATTTTTATTTTTTCTAATTCTGTCAAATTGTATTTTTTATTAGTCTTTTACGCCCAATTTGGATATCAAAGAAAAAAATATTAATTTTGAAAAAAATCCAATTTTTTTCCTCTCAATTGAGAAACATTATCGTTTTATTTTATTATGTTGGTAGACTATTTGGATGTCTCTTAAAATATGAGAAGAAAATTTTATTTGCCAGATATATCTGTTTGGATGCATTGCAAGATATCGATAAGAAATCCCAAACCCAATTTACACCATGCCATAATTTAATTATATTGATTCTTCTCATTTAATTATATTAATTCCTCTCTCTAGATCTGCAATTCATTCCGATAAATATAGGAGACATAAAAGATATGCAGTTTATTCTATAAATATAGGAGACAAAGAGAATGAGAAGAAACAATAAAGTACGAGCAAAGAGAAGTTAAATATTATTATTAGAGAGAGTAATGGATAGGCAAAAGAAGTTTCTTGTACAAATGTTTTTGAGGTTTGGGTAAAAGAGGTTTGCTTTGCAAATATTTTGTGGTAAAACTTGTTGGATTTATGTGGCATTTAAAGGTGGGCTTGTAAAATGAAATGATATAGTGGAACATGAACTCAGTGGGAGTGTGGTCCCTCGTGGACCAAACTAAGCAAACGATGGTTTGCTGATCTGTACTTAACAATCTAGGCCAGTCGATTGGGAAAAGCCTATGTTACCTGGGCATGAAGAACAAACTGATGAGGATTATAGGTTAGCCCTTGATGAGGTCGGAGAACATGCCCGGATGAGTGAGTCAAGGGACTGTGTGACTCTTGTGTGTGATGGTGGCCTACAAAGACAGGGGCCAAAACCTCATCTATATACCATCACACGACATGCATATCGATAGATCGTTTGGGAAAGCCAGAAATCCACCTTTTAGGGTGAAGCATATGCATGTGCGAGAGATACCCCTATGCGCCATAGAGTTGTGGTCGCATAAGGTCTGTGTGACCTTGACTTGTCTCTAAGAGATGACCTGTAATCCACAGACTAGGATTGCGACCCCTTGGCTCATTCGCCAGACTCTGGTGACCCACTAATAAGCCCATGCTTGGACTGTGGATCATGAGAAACACTGGGTCGGTTCGATAAGACAAGTGTGGTCTGTAGTCCACAGTTGAAGGTGAAGTGCCCCATGATTGCAAATTAAATTCCGTAACTATATGGATCCATTTCTCATCAAGTTAATTTAATTATGTTTGTTTTATGATATAAATTATTTTAGAATTATTATTTGAATTTTTTATGAGTCATTTGATATTTTATTTATATATTTTTTGGACTTATAAAAATGAAAATATTGATTTTACAAAAATATAAAATTCAAATAATGTTTTAAAATTTTTTTGATAATTTAAAATTATATAAAATATCATGGAGGGGCCCATAGTGCATATGGGCCCACCATGTGTCAAGTGGGTGGGGCCCACATGTCCCCGCATTGGTGGCACGCCCCACCCATTGGATTCGTTCTTGGAGTTTAAGTTATTTTATGTTTTGGTAATATTATGTTATGGCATGTGGTCAAATAAGATATGGAATATTTTGACCATATATTGACCAAATATTGAAAGTGTATATTGACTTGATATATCTTTGGAATATTTTGTGAAAGATTACAAAATGCATAATATTTTTATTAGATTTAATTTATCTAATTTCTAAGTCCCTGCCCCAGGGAATAGAAGGTAGCTCGCTTACTCTCCTAGCCTAGTGGCTGCTTATGTTTTGGGCGGTCGTTCAACTCTTCGAGCACTCCTCTATTGATGGGAAAATAGTTAAGGAAAAGGGGATAATGCTTCATGCACCTTTCATAATGTTGATGGCCCATCTATGGAATAGATGGCTCAGATCTCTCACCCCACAAGTCACCCTTGATCGACAGTCTACGATCAATCTCACAAGAAGAAGCAAGCCAAGGAAAACCCTAAAAAACCCTAATCTTGTTCAAGCCTATAAAAAAGGGATTGTCTCTACCAAAAATCTCCACACATTATCTTTCTATCTCTCTCTCTTAAAAAAGTTTTTTTCTCTCTCATGTTTGATCTCTTTATCCCACAATGTAAAAGAACCTAAGGGTTTAGGTTATGGAGTTCTTCTCTTTCCTATCTCTCGAATATAGATTTATAGCTTTAGGGTTTAGCAAAAAGAGAATCCATCTCTCTCAAACTAGGTTTCTAAGAGAATTCATTTAGGATTTGAATTTGTGATGAAAGGAGTTCATGTTCCATTGGTGTGGCTTGGCCGAAATTTGCTTTCCCTATTCGAGATTGAAGCTAGACCGTTGATCCCACGCCATTAGATGGTGGTGACTCGATGTGGGGTGTAATAAGCCCAGTTGAAGTAATCTCCCGCACTCTTCCTTTTGTTTCTTGCAATCTTATCTTTTATTTTTAAGCATAGTACATAGTTGTTTCAATGGCATCAAGTTGTTAAGATCTTGGTTTTATTGTTATGTTGATTTTATTTTGAAATTTATCTTATTTTAATAAAGACCACATGTAAGTGATCTTTTGCCAAAATAAAGGGGTGAAGAAAAAAAAAAATGTATTCCTCAGTAAAAGATCACATGTCTTTCTTTCAAAACTTTTCCATTGGCATACTCAGAAAAACACTCCATTAAATTTAGATAGAGTTATGCATGCTCAACAAACCACTTCATTAATTTTAGATAGAGAATCAAAGTTCTTAGAGATATCGAGCAACAGGCTGAATTAGAAGGGAATCACTATCCCGCAACCCATCGAAATGCTAAGGAGAGCTATGTGAAATTAGAGGCTTTCTAGAGAGATCGAAATGCTAGAGGCCTTCTAGAGAGATCGAAATGCTAGAGAGAGCTATGTGAAATTAGGGGCTTTCTAGAGAGAGAAAGATGGAAAGGTTCATTTTTTAGAGAGAGAAAAATTCTATGGGATTTGTAGTTGAAGTTGAGGCTTTCGAGGGAGAAAGATGGAAACGTTAATTTTTTATAGAGAGAGAAAAATTTGGTGGGATCTGTAGTTGAAGATGAGAAAAGGAAATAAATGTGCTAAGAGCTGGAAGGTTTGGCGGAAAGGCCAAGAGGGAAGCGAAACTTCAGGAGAAAAACATGAAGACGGAAGCGAAACTTTGGGAGAAAAACATGAAGAGGGAAGCGAAAAAAATTGCGAGCCAAAAAAATTTGAGTCGAACACAACATTTTTTCGCTCTTGTTTTTTTGGCACATTTGGCTTAGAGTCATAATCTATTTTGTTGGGAGATAAATTCGGATGGAGTTATCCAAACGGTACTAGTGCCTATCTCAATCTTTTTTTATTGTCATTGGAAAATATTGCAATTTTGGGTACATCCAAACTCGCCCTTAGTTTTGGAAAAAGTTTATATAAGGTTGCAACCTTAAAATGTAGAACTACGGATGCACATCAAAAATCCATTGGAAAATATTGTTTTAATATTGAAAAACCCTCTAATTGAGCATCTCGATGTCAAGATGTATGATTATGAAAAGAAAAAAAAAGGATTTTGAGTACAAAAAATAGTGCGTCTTACAACACATTATCTATACCGTTCATTTTAAAAAATTTCATATGCTTATAGATCTACTTGATTTTAACCATTTTTGGAGTTTAAAATTTTATAATTAGATATGAAAATAGATTTTGAGTTAATCCTAAGAGCATTTTACATCAAAATATGTTATGATCAAATTTAAAGGTGTACTTTAATTCGATTGTTTAAAGTTGCAACTTTATAGAAACCATACCCTTTAGTTTTTTGTGGGTTTTTAGGTAGAACAATGCCCTAACTATCGGACCAACCTATTTTTTGAGGCCGTCCATACCACCTAAGTCTACTTTCCCTAAGAGATAGGGAGAGAAACTTGCAATATAAGAGAATAGGAGCCTCTTGAAGTAGGAAACCAAGAGATAAATAACCTCTTGGCAGAAGGCCGCTCGTTCCACTAAACCCTTGTAACCCACAAAATGTTTAATATTTTGTCCCAAAAGAGTAAGGCTCCATGGTTGCAAGACGGCTCAAACCATATGAGCTCAACACTTTGAAACGTGTAGTCTTCTATGCTTTTCTCCTGGAGTGTTATTAGTTCAAGTGATTTACGTACGCCCAAAAACTTTACCTAAAATACAAAATGAGGTAATTTTGGGT